AAAAAAAAAAAAAAAAAAAAAAAAAAAAAAAAAAAAAAAAAAAAAAAAAAAAAAAAAAAAAAGGAGGAAAGAAAGAAAGAAATAAAAAGAATAAGGTCAACTATGCTGCCCATTTGAGAAGTTCAATGATCAGCAGCAGCTCTCCTCATTCCTTGAAACCAGACACACTTTGTCTCCAATTCCTAAGAACATCATGCAACTTACCTGATATTCCCTCACTTTACATAAGCCAGTGGAAAGTCACTGGCCTTAGTTTGCTAAATTTGATAAATTCTTCTAACATTACATACTTAAAAGTTAATTCTATTATTTTCACCTGCTTTTCTATACCTGACTTTTTAATTTCTCTAAAGTATCTACATTGACTTGATAAGAGGCTGATCAATACCATCATGAGTCTATAAAATCTTTCTGCTACCAAGAAAAGTCTCGGTCAACTTACACACCATACTGCTTTCCTTTCCTAGCAATCAAGTGTTTTTACTTAGATATTATGTATAGTCTGAAATTGTACATGTTTCGTCATCTGAAAAAGTCTATTTTAAATTCTAAATGTTTGCTGATTTCTGGTTAAAGCTGCCATGGAGTTTTTTCCTTCTTCATCTAAATCATCTGGCAGTGAAGATATTGCCTTAAATCATCATATCTAGCTAAGAGTATAGTGCTGGTTTAAGTCATCTCTTACTTAGAAAAAAAATGTGTGTTAAAAATGTCAACTGCAAAGCATAAAGCGGTAATGTCATACTGCCCTTCTATTTTGGTGCACGAAACACAAGAAACAGCAGGTGTTGATTTTCTCTGATATTTGAGATTGATAGCTTGTCTCTTTCTTACTCCACCCACCATCATTATGTTTAATCTACATTCATCCATGACACATTGCAACTTGCTGATTTTATAGCTATTCTGTATGTAAATAAAATGAGTGAAAAAATACAAAGCCCCAATAGTATAATTTCTGCCTTCCTATAAAATCAACCTGCTCATCTGAATGCACCTCTATCAGGACATGGGTGAAATCCTATAGCTAGCTCTCAGGTATGCTTGTACGAAGGTGAACTCAAAAGTCATAATAACTGTAGAGTCTATTTCATATGCAAATCAGACAGAGCACTCCAACCACTATAAATTAAATCAAAAGATTCCCAAATGGAATGAGGTATAGAATAGTTCTGGCAAGTTTATATTAACAACTCTGTAGTTGAAAGCTTTCCACTCTCCCATGAAACATAATACAAATTACTTAAGAAGACATTTGTAAGGAAACAAAACCCAGCTATTATTTAAAAACATTATTTAGTGCCATTTCAAATATAAATGTTCTTTTTAATCATTTAATTGACACGTGCCCCATTAAAACATGCAATTATTTGTCATATACAACATGCAGCATGCAGTAAGTGGACAGCAGAGGTTAATAACCTGGAAGCATAGGATCTGAGAATGTGAGAGCAAGTTAAAGACAAGAGTTCCTCTCCATTGTCACTGAGGGTCGAGAAGCAATGCTGAAGCGTAGAACAGTGAGAGTGGGGGAAATACAGTTTGTCCAACACATAAACATATCTCCGCAAGTGGCGGCAGGTATAACTGAAAGACAAAGGTAAAAGGAGAGAAACAGAAAGAGGAGTTTTCCTTTGAAAAAAATAAAACATTATGTCCTCAAAGCTTTCTGTGTATCTTCACTAGATGGTGCCCGAGGAAAAAAACTGTTAAAGAGAATAAAAAGATAGAAAAGAAAATGAACAATCAGAATAAAAAATGGGCAAAAGATCTAAACAGACAGTTCATCAAAGAAGATATACAGATGGCAAATAAGCATATGAGGAGACACTTAACATCATACATCACTAGGAAATGCAAATTCAAACAATGAGACACCGCTACAGACTATTTGAATGGCTCACATCCAGAACATGGATTACACCAAATGCAGCAGAGGATGTGGAGCAACAGGAACTCTCATTCACTGCTGGTGGAAATGCAAAATGGTATAGCTACTTTGGAAGGCAGTTCAGCAGTTTCTTATAAAACTAAATATACTCTTACCATACAATCCTACAATTGTGCTCCTTAGAATTTATCCAAAAGAGTTGAAAACTTACATTTACACAAAAATCTGCACATATGTATTTATGGCACCTTTATTCACAATTCCCCAAACTTGGAAGCATCCAAGGTGTCCTTTAGTAGACGAATGAATAAGTAAACAAACTGTGGTACATCCAGACAATGGATTATTATTTAGGGCTAAAACAATGAGCTATCAAGTCATGAAAAGACATGGATGAACCTAAATGCATATTACTAAGTGAAAGCCACCAATCTGCAAGAGGCTACATACTGTGTGATTCCAGTTATATGATATTCTGGAAAAGGAAAAATTACAGAGACAGTAAAAAGGTTAGGGGTTGCCAGGAGTTAAGAGGGGAAGGAGGGATGAGTATACAAAGCACAGAGGATTTTTAGGGCAGTGAAGCTACTACACTGCACAACACTATAATGGTGGATACATACACTCATCAAAAACCAAAGAATATATAACACCAAGAGTGAACCCTAATGTAAACTAGGTACTTTGGGTGATACTGTGTCAATGCAGGTTCATCAACTATAGTAAATATGCCACTCTGGTACAGGATGTTGATAGTTGGGGAGGTTGGAGGCCAGGGAATATGTGGGAACGCTATACTTTCTGATCACTTTTGCTGTGAACCTAAAACTGCTCTTTAAAAAGTGTATTTAGGTGAGAAAAAGACGTATTCCCTGGGAGAAAAGTCTCAAAATATGAGGCTGTCATTAGTGAACCACATAAAATATGCCTTGGTAGAACAAAGTGACACAAAATACTATTTCTTCATGGTATTATGAATTCATTCCTGGCAAGCAGGCAATAATACTACTACAATATGGAAGAGATTATGGTAGACAGAACACTGAATTAGGAGTCAGAAAACTTAGAAATCCTTTGGAAAAGTGCTTGCGAAAATAAAATTTTTTAAAGAAAGACAAAACTTAGAAATCTAAATTCTGCTCACACATTGGCAGCTTTATGATAGTGGGTACATGATCTCTCTAAGCCTCAAACTCATAAGCAAACAACACAGAAGTAAAAATTTTAAGCTGCTCCAAGATTTTAAAGTGATAGTACAAAAAATAAAGTAATAAGATGACCAATAAGAATTATTACTATTATTGTCAGAGTAATTTCACTGATGCCACATTTCAGGCCATTTAAAAATAGCAAGCTAGAGAGAAGAAAATAAAATCAATCTGACAAGGTGAATCAACAAAATAGTGAACCTATCACATGATATGGCTAGGCTATTACCAGTCCTTGAGATTCATGTCTAAAGAACTACATCAAAACTATATCAAATTATTAATACCAAGAGGGTAACAGGTAATTTTTAAAGTATGTTAAATTCAAAATAAAACTAATAAGTTAGAAGATTTGAAATGGGCAAATTTCCACAAATAAACAATCCATTTATCTGTTCAACCACTAGCCTATCAAACAACCAGTTAGTCAAGCAGTAACTACTATCCACTGCATGTGGGAATTGTCCGGGGCATTGAAGACAGGGCGGGGAATGATATATACACAATACCTACCTTTAAGGAGCTTACAACCTAGAGCAGGAGACAGGTTATTAGACAGTAACAAAATCCCTCTGAAATACAGAAAGTCTTAAGAAGCTGTTAATATCCAAAGCACAGTAGAGTTAAAAATCTTGTAAAGTAGGCTTATATTTAAAGAGATACTTCTGTTAAGTCTTGGAAAGGATTCCAGGACTCAACCCACCAGACAGCAAAATCTTAAGACTATATTCTTGAAAAATATACATAACCAGCACTTTAAACAAGTGATCACAGTTAACATTATCATCAGTAATGAAACAGTAGATGTCATGTGTCTCCTGATATGATCACAGCATAGCCAAAATCTAATCCCCCCAAAAAATCAAGCAAACCGAAATTGAGGGATATTCTACAAATAAACAAAAAACTGTTCCGTATTCTCCAAATTTTGGAGGCCATGAAAGACAAAGAAAGACTGAGGGACCATTCCAGATTGAAGAAGATGAAAGAAGACAACTATATGTAGCATGATTTTGGTATTAAATCCCTGACTTGGGCCGGATGCAGTGGCTCACGCCTGTAATCCCAGCACTTTGGGAAGCCGAGGCAGGCGGATCACAAGGTCAAGGGATCGAGACCATCCTGGCCAACATGGTGAAACCCCATCTCTGCTAAAAATACAAAAATTAGCTGGGCGTGGTGGCACGTGCCTGTAGTCCCAGCTACTCGGGAGGCTAAGGCAGGAGAATTGCTTGAACCTGGGAGGCAGAGGTTGCAGTGAGCCCAGATTGTGCCACTGCACTCCAGCGTGGCGCCTGGCAACAGAGCAAGACTCTGTCTCAAAAAAAAAGAAAAGAAAAGAAAAAGGAATCCCTGACTTGGAGGGGAAACAAGGCATTTTTTACTTAAAATAGTTTTATCAATGTTAATTTCTTAATTTTGATAAACATCCTTATTTTTAAGAAATACATCATGCAGTACTTAGTAATAAGGCATCATGCCTATAAACTTATTCTCAAACATTTCCAAAAAAAGAGACAAACATGATAGTAAAGCATATGTAAAATTTTAACATTTGAGAATGTGAATTAAAGGTAAATGAAAATTATTTGCACTACTTATGCAATTTTTTAGTAAAAGTAATTTTTTTTTTTTTTTTTTTGAGACAGAGTATCATTCTGTCACCCAGGCTGGAGTGCAGTGGCATGATCATAGCTCACTGCAGGCTTGACTCCTTGACTACCTGGGCAAGCAATCCTCTTACCTCAGCCTCTCGAGTAGCTGAAGCACAGATGCATGCCACCACTCAGCTAATTTTTAAAATTTTTACTAGAGATAGTAAAAAAAACTGGTCTCACTATGTGGCCCAGTCTGGTCTTAAATTCCTGGGCTCAAGTGATCCACCCACCCTGGCCTCCCAAAGTGTTGGGATTATAGGCGTAAGTCACCATGCCTGGCCTACATTATTTTTAATCAGAAAAAAACAAAAAACAAACAAACAAAAAAACCCAGAACTGATCTCTTTGATAAATTGAATAATACCGATTTTAAGATTACGAGATTCAAACCTAGAGTCCTAAAATGTCATTCTGACCTCTACATTTAACGCTTGGGACATCAGAAAAACAAAATCATGGGAAGTATGCAAATGTGGTCTGGAGCTAGCCCATAGAAAACAGTCACTGTTACTTAAGAATTACACTTTCATAAAAATAAAACCTCCTTAGTGCCTTCTTACATGAAAATGTCCAAGATTATGCAATGTATAGTTCTGAAATGTTATTCAATATGGTTATGCTTCACCAAATAAAGTATAACAATATTCTGTCCTAGAACAACATTCAAATCTGTAAAAGATGACAAAAACCACAAGCAAAACAGCAATGCTTAAAAAAAGACTCCACGGTGAAGTTTCTAATAATGTATTTAGCAGTACTCTGATAATAAAATTGTAACACATTTTCAGAGCAACTTTTTATAAGTTCTTTTGTGCTTTTTTTGTTTTTGTTTTTTCTTGAGATGGAGTCATGCTCTGTCGCCCAGGCTGGAGTGCAGTGGCATGATCTCGGCTCACTGCAACCTCCGCCTCCTAGGTTCAAGCAATTCTCCTGGGTTCAAGCAATTCTCCTGTCTCAGCCTCCCGAGTAGCTGGGACTATAGGCGCATGCCACCACGTCTGGCTAATTTTTGGGTTTTTAGTAGAGGAGGGGTTTTGCCATATTGGTCAGGCTGGTCTTGAAATCCTGACCTCAGACAATCCACTGGACTTGGCCTCCCAAAGTGCTGGGATTACAGGTGTGAGCCACTGTGCCCGGCCCACTTATTTTCTTAACTTTCTATATGCTTAAAGAACTTTAAAAAAAATGAGATTACCAGAGGCAGGTTAAACTTTACCTAGACTATTCAAAACATTCTATATACCCTTTTCCAATTTCATCTTCCCTCCTTTCCTTCCTTTCCTTGAGAAAGCTCATTAGCAGATCCATTAGATTAAAAAATACCAAGAAATTAAATAATACATGTGTATAGCCTATATGAAGAAAATTACCAAAATTTACTATTTGACATAAAAAAAATCTTGAATAAATGAAGAGACACTAGCATGTTTTTGGATGGGAAGACGAAATATCATAAAGAATGCCATTATCCTTCACAGATTCAAAATCTCAATAGTGAGATTTGATTTTGACATTACTCTTACAGTAGTTCCTACATTTTTTTAGGTGGTCATTTTAAAAGTCAACAAAAGACATGGATTTGCTTACAGAAAAATATACCAAGTTATAGACATACAAACTTTATATAAGATGTCAAGATCTTCACAGAGCTACTAGGGCCATTCATACTATCTCCATGCCCCAGATTCACGAAGTGCAAGTAATGAAGTCCTCGGAAGAAAAAGAAATAGGTGAAAGGATCCAAGACAGCTTTTAAAAGTAACAGTACTAAGGAGGGGTTTAACTTTAGGCTATTCAAATACATGTATTTGACAATATATATACAACAGT